ATGGATATAACACTTTTGTCTGCAATTATAAAGGCATGTTGCCCATCTGGATCCATTTCTGGAAATCCAAAATGGATAGAAGACATTAGAGATACTAGAAATTACATTGCTCACTGTCCAAGTAATAAAATCACAAAGTTTGAATTTGATCGACGATTTGCTATTGCCGAACAATCGGTCTTGAATTTAGCTAGTGTAGTAGGTCCTGTATTTTCAAAAATGATGAAAGGTCAAATATCTTTTTTCTAAACAGCGATTTGTCCACAATCAAAGAATTCATAAGGAGCAGCAACGATAGTATCCTTCAGCTAAGTTCATTGAAAATCAATCTTTGAATCTATGTTATCATAATTATGATAAATAAACGAAATTAATTTTATTTTTGGTGTGTTTACCTCTTAGATAAATATTTTTTTAGAATGCTCACATATTTTGAGGCTGTAAAGTACTATTACCTAAATTTATTTTTGAGAACTTTGATATAATAAGGACAATTGAACTCATACCTGCCCTGAACCTTTACCCTTGTGGTGTTAGCTACTAGTATTCTAAAACCGATAGAAAGCCTTTGTGTTGGTTTTGTATGTTGATGTAATATACAACTGATTTATCATTTTTGTTATTTTGCTTCAAATCAATGGTTCTGTGATATCCCACAACTACAGACTATTTACCGGTGAATACCATACAGTATTGTATTGGTCGCTTACAGTTGGCGATATAACGAGTGTGAACTGTTTCCAGATATTTTATTGGGCAATTTATGCTTGAAAAAGATGCAACATTAGTTGTTGTGCAATTACCTACCTAATGCCATAAAAAGTCCAGACTATTTATTATTCGAATCACATTCAATTTCAAAATGTCTGAATAGTCTGAAATGTCCGTGTTACGAATTGACAATGTTCCAAATAGAAAGTTTCGCTGCCTTTTTATTAGCACAATTACGCCTTAGATAACAACTACTGGGATTCAGCATGAAATATAATAGTCGAACTTTATTTGTGTTTATTGAGATGCTTTTAAGGATTCTTTTTATATAGTAGTACCATTGTTTTTCAAAAATTGTTAGTCCGTTTTGTCTTAAGCAAAGGTTTAATTTTTAAATAGACTTAAATGAAATAGTAAAGATCAAAGGGCCTGATATATTCACATTTTTGAATTCTAACCTTTCATGATAGATAGTTATCATGTTTGTTATACAGATTGATTTTCAACGAACCTACCTGAATGATATTATCGTTGTTGCTCCTTATGAATTCTTTGATTGTGGACAAATCGCTGTTTTTGAAAAAAGATATTTGACCTGTCATCATTTTTGAAAATACAGGATCTACTACACTAGCTAAATTCAAGACCGATTGTTCGGCAATAGCAAATCGTCGATCAATTTCAGACTTTGTGATTTTATCATTTGAACAGTGAGCAATGTAATTTCTATTATCTAATGTCTTTTATCCATTTTGGATTTCCAGAAATCAATCCAGCTGGGCAACTTTCCTTTATTACTGCAGACAAAAGTGTAATATCCATTTCCTCCACAGTACTTGTTCGTTTTGCTAAAACAGCACACAGGAATAACTATTTTATCTACTGTCCTTGCTTCAATGTATGGCTTGAAATTCTCGTTCATCGTCTATTTCTCGCCTGAATTTAGCGACAACATAGCACATAGGTTTATTTTACAATACTTCGCTTCAGTAACTTCGTGTGTAAATTTTTGTGTGTTTTTAAACTATTCCTATGAAGGAAAGGTGATCCTTTCTTAGACTAAATTAAAGGAAGTAATTATTTGCATAAGCGACAACAGTTAACTTTGGGATCTGCGTTCTCACTTTAGAAATGCAGTTAGACAAACATTCATGTCCAGTGTACAAAGTAGTACCGATATTGTCGACATCGCAAAGTAGGCAATGTCGAAACAATTGTGTACAACGTTGTCAATATCATTTCATACTCTAATCTACATCGTTGACATTGACGATATCGCGAAGTAGACAATGTCGACACGATATTGTACAACGTTGTCGATATCGTTTCATACTCTTGTCTATATCGTTGACTTTGACGATATTGCGAAGTAGACAATGTCGACACAATGTTGTACAACGTTGTCGATATCGTTTCATACTCTTGTCTACATCGTTGACATTGCCGATATCGCTAGCACATTACTCGTGTTTACATTGTTAATTTTGAATACAACGATGTCGACATTGTGTTGTACTACTTTGTCGATATCCTTTCATCATCTTGTCTCTGCATGGTTGGCATTGCCGACATCGCGAAAAAGACAATGTCAAAACACTGTATTACAACGTAATCTATAATGTCAACATCGCAAAGATGTTGAGGAGGAGGAGGAGGAGGACGAGAAGGAGGAGGAGGATAGAGATTTGCAAACATTAAAAAACTGTCCAAATAAGTTCTACTATTAAGAACATCGACACAGGCGTAAGGGAGCTACCATTTGATTTTTATGGGGGGGGGGGGGGGGGGGCTAGGATGAAAAATTTTGTCCTGCATTTTTTTTTAGCTGTAATCTTTGTCCTACCTTTTTATTTTTCACTCTATTCGGTCCTGCATTTTTTTTTTAGTTTATCCTGACTTTTTTTTACCTAAATTGTCGTCTTGACTTTTTTTTTTTGCAAGTGTCTCATCCTGCCTTTTTTTTTTACTTAAAACTCCTGTCCTGCCTATTTTTTTCAAATTTCATCCTAGCCCCCCCCCCTATAAAAATCAAATGGTAGCTCTCTAATATAAATACATTATTTGAAATTGAAATTGATAAATTAAACACTTCTTTATTTGAAAAAAAACGATGTAGGCAATGTCAACGATGTAGACAGGAAAGGGGGACGATGTAGACGATGTCGTCATGATGTTGTTAACATCGCGATATCGGCGATGTCAACGATTTAGACAGCAAGAAAAACGATGTAGAAGATGTCGTCACGATGTCGGCGATGTCAACGATGTAGACAGGAAAGGGGGACGATGTAGACGATGTCGTCACGATGTTGTCAACATCACGATGTCGGCGATGTCAACGATGTAGACAGGAAAGGGGGACGATGTAGACGATGTCGTCACGATGTTGTCAACATCACGATTTCGACAATGTCAACGATGTAGACAGGAAAGGGGACTATGTAGACAGCTAGTAGAACGATGTCGGCGATATCAACGATGTAGACAACAAGTAAGACAACAAGTAAGACAATGTTGCGAGCAGGTATAAATCATGAACGAAGTTGACAATATCGGCGATATCGTCACTACATCGTGCACTGGACAAAGCCTGAATTTTCAACACCATTTGGTGTGGATTAATCTGCACGGTACATATGTTACCGCATGCGTATTTGGTTTTTTTTATTACTTAAAAAAATAAACTTCTTCAAGGGTTATTTAGGATTTTGGTATTAGTTTGAGTGGAAAAAAAACATTCCTTGTATATTTTTTTTGGCATAGAACTTTGCTCATTACAAAATATGTTGCGGAAAATGTATCGCTATATTTACACCAATATCCGACATTCGTTTTTCAATTCAATGTATTTCAAATTCTTCTAATTAAAGGGAAGCAGAATAAAAATTTACCCCAAGCTTTTATTTATTTGTGAAGAAAAAAAGCTTCGTCCGTCATTCTTATTTACTTCATTTTATGTTTTAAACAACTGCTAAAACAGCATTTATGAAGATAGATGTCTATACCAATTGATCTCAGGATAAACAATTGAGATGTGTTTATTTTAAAAGTGTCGTACACTCGAGGTCGTACATGTTTAACATAAGTTGCTTCCGTTGTTGATAAATATACACTTACAACAATATCGTGACAGATCTATTAAATACAGGAAGTTTGTTTAATTCATAGAGTTCTTACTAACTAAATTTACAAAACTTCAAAACGGAAAGTCCCTTATAAAATGACAAAATCAAAAGCATATGACATCATGCAAACGAATGGAAAACAACAGTCATATTCCTGACTTGGTACAGACATTTCCTTATGTAGAAAATGGTGGATAATTACAACTACAGCCCAGAGCACACACCCTCCTATAAATGTCAAAACTTTTTATTCGTATGCAATAATTTTCAGTTTGACACAGTGCATTACAGAAAAAGAATAAAAACGACAACCACTGATCGAAAGTTTTGCTATATATTAACCAATATAATGTATGTATATCTAAAATAGTACCTGTGTCATTATTCTGCACAAATGATATATCCATTCACGTGGTAAATAGTGGCAGAATATTTAAAACTAAAACATAGCGCATAAACAGTGCATTTACGCAAGTGTTCAATTAACTTACTTCCTGTGTAATATGTTTGTGTTTTTAAACTTGTTTCCATCCCTTACTTTTAATGCAATTAAATTGAAGTTATAAATTGCACGGGCGACAATAGTAGCATTTTGGGTTCCGCGTTCTCATAACACAAATGCTGTTGGAACAAATGTCAAATGAAATTTTCAACAGTTTTGGTTGTTAATAGATCTGAAAAATACATATGGTACCTTTTTTATATTGAAAAACAGCATTTTTTAAGAGTATTCTATGATTTCGGATGTTTGAAGCCAAATGAATGAAATACACACTCCCATAACTTTTCGTAAGGATCTTTGTTCATTACAAAAAGCTTTCCGAAAATGTTCTCGCTCTATTTACAGCAATAACCGGTACATCTTTCTTAATATTTCAATTTTCTTTTTAAATTAACAGGCCAGCGTAAATAATGTCTCTATCTACTATCTTAGAGAGGCACCCGTCATCCTTTTTTACTTTTTTTATGTGTTTTAACTTATTCCTGTTACAAGAAGGTACCCATAGATAAGCCTTTAAGGGAATAAATTTATATACAAATGGATTAGCTCTCAGTATAGAGTTGCATTGTGTTTATATAAGATATGTCGTACTTCTTTAACATAACCGATGAATAAACACTAAAAATAACTTTTTATCAGGAACATGTGACATTTACACAAAACCGATAAAGAAGAGGTAGTACATATACGTGCCTGGGTGATATGTAAGGATAACTTTGCTTTGTATATATTGATATGTAAAGTTCAAATTCATTTCTCATGATTGTAATTTTCAATTGCATAAATCATTCAAATTCTTATTTTCTGTAGATTTCAGTTTGGAATCGAATAATGTGAAAAATATCAACTTACACTTTCGTTTTCGATAAACAGATAAATGCATGTAGTTTATTTGCTAGACATTTTTCTTGTTGCACTAACAATAATTTAAATATAAATTCTATATCAACAATGTTGGTAAGAAACATTACAATAATTAGTATCTCATTTCTTTGTAAAAAAATTGAAAGGTCTTTAATTCAAAGTCTGATATTTGTAATGTACTCTTTACGAGTTTTCAATTGAAATGCGACAAGCATACCCCCTAAAATGTTTCAATTTTTGCACTAAATGACCTTATCCACTTCAATTTTTGAGATAAAAAGTATGATATTTGTAATGTAGAATGGTCATTTGATATGCAACAACACCATGATCTAGTAAGTGTGTTTTTTATTTGCACTTAATAACCCCATTCAACTCAATTTTAGAGGACATGAATTTTATTTGAAATGTACACACTTCGACCTTTCATTTGATATGCGACAACTTGACCTTCTAATACAATTTATTTGATGCACTCAATGACGCCATCCAACACATTTTTTGGGGACTTACATTTGATATTTGAAATATACGCTTTATGGACTTTCATTTGGTATTCAGCAACCTTACCATCTCAGAAGTTTTAATGTTTTGCACTAAATGACCATACTCTTCTCTTTCGGATGGACAAGGGGATATTTTATTTCTTACTTTTAAACAGAGCTTATTTGGATGTTCAATTTCATATGTCACATGACCAAATTTAGCAAATTCAAAAAAATGATGCGATATCAATTTTATAACTAGAACTTATGAAACTTACAAAGTCCATGTAAAGCATGAAAATTTCAAACTGCGTATTTTTCTTGTCTTTAATCAAATGTCAAACAATTGAAATGTCTTTCCGTTAAAGTCAATTTTTGAGATAGGAAGTATGCTATTTGTAATGTAGACTTGGTGACCATTAATTTGATATGCAACAACTCCACGATCAAGAATTGATGGGATTTTTTTTTGCACTAGAAAACCTCATTCAACACATTTTTTGGGGACTTACATTTGATATTTGAAATGTACACTTAATGGACTTTCATTTGGTATGCAACAACCTTACCATCTCAGAAGTTTTAATGTTTTGCACTAAATGACCCAACTCTTCTCTTTCGGATGGAAAAGAGGATTTTTAATTTTTGTTTTGAACAGAGCTAATCTAGATGTTCAATTTCATATGTCACATGACCCCATTTAGCAAAGTCCAAAATATGATGCAGTATTAATTTTATAAATAGCACTTATGAAACGCATGAACATTTCAAACTAATTATTTTTCTTGTCTTAAATCAATTGTTTTTGGTATTTAGTCAAACATATAACAATGTTAAACTCTTCAATTTATAAACATTTTAGGTGACTAGCTGTTGCTGATTCAGAAATTTACGCCCCCCCCCCCCCCCCCCCCCCCTTCCCCCCCCCCCCCCCCTTTCAAAAAATTCCAAACTGCAAAATCTCTAAAACGCAACAAATATCTCAAATCTATTAAGTGTATGATCTGCAGATCAGGTACAACACTGACCAAGAAAATTATGGCAAATCCATAGCTCAGTAAGGGCATAATTAATAATTGAATATACGATGCAATACCGAACATGAGAACCAGAAGTCGTAGAGACATGAAACTATCACCATTCAAATCATAACCACTTGACCTTCGAAAAGGTCACAAGGTCAATGTTATAATACTTTGAAGGTCAAGTTATAATTTATTCTTGACCTTGACATTGACCTCATGTTCAAGGTCTTAAAATACTGATATTTTTGGCTGGATGATATCTGTTCCAATTTCAAAGATATACACAACAACAATTCTTTAAAGAACTATCACGAACGGATTTTTTAAAAACTTTTGAACGGATGGCCGGATAGTTTAGGTCTAATGTATAAAATGTAGAGCTCTTCGAGGGACATTATTTACACTGTGTGTATGCAGCTGTCTCTTATCGTTTTCGTGATATTCAAGCTTGAAATTTAAGCGTAAACACCTTTTTGCACTCTTTGACCTTTGTTCAAATGAAAGTTCGCATTACTTTAGGACTATTGGTGAAGGTCCAATTTCTCTACGACTTCCGGTTCTCCAAATATAATTTTTCAAAAATTGTGTATAATATTTCAAGGGGAATAACAAAATAATTGTTTATGTTTATTTACATTGCCATCTGTTCTTGTACATTTTGGCATTTTTAGATCGATTCTATCTGTTACAATTTTAAAGATATATGGAAATAACAGAAATTGTTTCAAGGGGATATAAATTTAAAATTGAGATAATGAAAACCTTCGCATCTGGTAATTCTTCATGTTGAGATCTATCTGTTATCCAAATAAGGTCATGATATCTTTCAAAACAAAGAGGGGGGAGTGTCGAAAAAAACCATTAAAAGGTAGATAACTTCTAAAGCAGATGATGAAATCTTACGCAGCGTCATCTGGTAATACTTCATGATGAGGTCTATCGACGGTCCTAATTTGGTCATAACTTATTTAGAAACAAAGGGAGGCTATTTCAAAAACAACTGGGTATAAAAGGAAAAAGCATTTGAGAAACAATAAGGTCTTTTCAAATTTAGAGGAAAGACCTTAAAAATCGTAACAGCTTAGCCAAACGTACCCAGTATGTTGTTTATATTATTGAACCACCTATATTTATTGCCCTTGTCAATGAAAATGATTTTACACATTTTAGGGTATCAGGGGCCTTTCAGAAAGAATGCAAATGATCACTGTATACACATTTCCATTCATGATATTTATTAACTAACTTTAAAGTTTTGTTACTCATTAAAATACCAGCCTTACAAGTAAAAATAGTGCATACTGAATGAACATTTAAGAGTAACAAAAGATCAATTTTGGTCTGGATGTTTATTTTATTTCATTTTTGTCGGAAAATAGACACCTCTACATTGCTGAAAATCCTATAAGTCCTCTGTACATGTTATTTTTAAATACCTTAATTGTAAGAAATTTCTTATATTCCAAGAAATATGCTTGGCAAAATTTAAATCAGAAACGCTGATTATGTGTTTGAGCAAAAATCGCGCCTCGAAATTTCTAACGGGTGTCGGTGTAAAAATTGTTATACTGCAGATTGTAACTATATTTAACGAAGGTGATTGCTGTAGAATATATTTACATTTTGGGATGTAGATTTTATGGCAATGAAACAGCATCTCAACTACACAAATAACAAACAAACAAAAAATAATACATCCTTGTACCTCCTTGGCTTCTAAATATTCGTCTAAGTGCGTTCCCGATGAAGGTAGGTCCAGATATGCGTTTCGGACGCTTGAAATTTATAAAGTATGGTTTTAATTTTTTACAGCACTGGGTCGATATTGCTGCTGGTGAACTAGCATTCCTCGAGAGTCTCGTCATCACAGTAGTCAGTACTTCGGTACTGACATGATTTATAATAAATTTTGGAATTAATTAAGAAACTAAGGTATCAACTCCCTCAGGCATAGTCGATTTAAGATGCATTTTGCTTTTATTTAAAGGTCCTTTGTGGTCAAAAAGGTCTTCAACTGTTTCGGTTCTTATACATCTTTGGCTTTCAAACATTCGGCTTTGAGCGTTTCTGGTGAGATAAATGCAGACCACGCTTCGGGTGCATCATACCTTTGTAAATAAAAAATGAAGAGTTATTTTTCTTTGTTTCAAACTGTCCTGTCGGAAAATTTTTTTAAAGTAAAAATGTGACGAATTAGGTGGGGGGAGTATATATTACATATATCACATGAGCCATTCAAACACCTGGTCTTTTTTAAAGTATGTGTCGACTGGATCGGCTAAATTCTTTCTCTCTTTTTTTGGGTTGATATTATTTCTCATGCGAAAACAAAATAACTTGAATTTGTCTTAACTTTATAAGTTTAGTCGAGACAGTTATAGCTATTTGACATTTCTTTTTAACTACAAACGTGTTAACAGTGACGGGAAACATTTTAATTTCAAAATAAGAAGGAGGGAATCCATTCAATATATACCTATTGTATATTTACAGGTACCTGTTGTATATTAACACATTAACGTGGATTTTTCTCTTAGATTATCACAAAACGGTAAGTTTATTTTGTTTTTTTTTCTGTGACCGAAAAGTACAATTATATATGCTAGTATTACCATAATTTCCTAAATAAACACGGCTTTTAAACAGCCACACTATACTGATCGATAATAAAAAAAGGTGTTTAATTCGTAGAAAAGTAGGTCAAAAGTATGCATTTTAAGTGAGACTTGACAAGTAACTATCTTTTTTTTGTTTAAGCTGGTTCGAATCCCGCACGTGGCAGATGCGCTCGACTCCTATCTTAATTGACTAGGATTGTCAGTTTTACTTCCGAAGGTTGGTGGTTCTCTTTTGGCTTCCTCCACAAAAAAAACTGACCGCCACAATATAGCACACTAGTGTTGTAAGTTACGTTAAGCACAAATCATTGAATCAATCAATTTATAGAAGCTATGTTAATAAATAAGCTGAATTAAACAATTAAAAATGCAATTTAACTTAGATTTGAACGTATAAGAATAGTGATCATTGAGCATTAGGATATATACCATGGTAGGTTTCTCAATATTGCTCGGCCCAGTTGTAAAATTAAACCAATCAGTGACCGTTACAAAACAGATCATTATTTGATATAAATCAACTGAGAAATTACGCCGTCAAAGCAGTTTTGAAACTGTTTATATAAAATATTGTGCATTTTAATCTTCATTTCATGAGATAAAAAGTTATTCTATTTGTTGTCACGCGCACTATTACATTGTCCATATTAGTGAATATATGATCATAGAAGAAATAAAGAATATGGGCAATTTAAATTATAATTTGTACTACTTCGAGCTATGTGCTTTTTTTAATCTAATATATTAAAGCTAAATGTATCTCTTATGTCGTACATTTAAGTCGACGCGCATTTTTCGCATTGTCGATTTGAGTGTGAGTTTTCCTGATGAAGATAATTCCAGAAAAGCGCCTCGAACGCACGAATAAAGTGTAGTTTTCATTAACAGATAAATTATATGATTCTATTTTAAAAAGAAATTACGTAATTTTTTCGATTGATATTTATCAATTTCTAGTAAATATGAATACTTTGATTACACTTTAGCTATTCGTTTTATGTCATATAACTCCTTACTCGGCTACATATTTTTACATCTTTGACTCTCCATCTTTTGGTTTCAACGTTCCTGATTATTAAAGAAAAACGCTGCGGACGCATGACATTTATAGATTGTCATTTTCATTTACAAAATTTACCTATTATCCTACAACTTTTGAAATCAAACAGATGTCCAGTTAAACCATTGTGGTGACGTCAGCCTATTAATTTACCGTGGATTCTTTTTCTAGAATCAACGCTTCCTAAATCTGCCGCTGAAATGGACTCACCAAATTATATTCAATTGTTTCCTTTGTGTGTCTAATTTCATTAAGTTTGAATTGGCTAATTTACTGATTTCTGTTCACTAATGGAATTAATTTAAAAACTTACCTTTAATTTTTGTAATTTGTATATGCCTTCACTTGGAATCGAACCTTTCCTTGAAATCTGTTATGAATGACTGACATCAACACATCGACGAAACCTCTCGGCTACCAATGGGTTACAACTTAGATGTCTATTTTATATATATAAATGAACATCGGACACACAGGGGTTGTACCTTTATATATACACAATGGGCAGTCGTATAGTATAAGTTGGTAGCCGCGAGTTTAGCATGCTTAAAATCAACGAGTTAAAAGATAGTGATTTGTCGGTTTAGGTTCGAATCCCTGTATTATCTCTGTTGTCCCAAGTCTGTTTTTTTTCTAAATTAGCATGTTATAGTGGATATTTTTGTAATAATAGCGTGTTTTATCGTTTATTTTTTGGATTATTATTGGCTATTTCACATGTTTGAAACAAAAATGATTACATTCTATTTGTCAATTTTTGTTGTATAAATATAGTATGATTTCATCTGTTTTACTATATAATTTTACAAATATTTGTTCGCAAATTCCTATGCTAGAAAATCGTGATGTGCCTCGAGTGCTAGAAATTTTGGTAACATACTTATTATATATACTTTATATATGCTCTTTGGTCGGGTTGTTGTCTCTTTGACACATTCCCCATTTCCATTCTCAATTTTATTAGAAATAAGTTCGAATATGTCGTATTTTGTAAAAACAGATAATATTCAGATGCCTGATAATACAAAGATCTTTAAAGGTAGAAGTGTTATATTTGTATTTTGTTAACCAATTAATTGTGATCTGAGAATTATCAATGCATCGTTGGACACGATAAGATGGTTATTTAAACTCACTTACAATACCTTCTAATTAAGAAAAGGCTTTAATTTTGAAAAGAAATTAACACAATAGTTTAAGTTATAGATACAATGGATAAGCGTAGATTCATAAAAAACAAACCATTCGCCCTCCGGGCTCATGGTTTCTTTTTCAAGAATCCACGCTTATCCATTGTATCTATATAACATAATACACTTTGTATGATATAATTGTCTCTAAAGTCAGATGTAACAGTGATTAATGAGGTTAATATGTAAACTGAGTAAACAAATAAAAAAAAAAACAATAAGGGATTGACTTGAACGGAGAGAGATTGGGTATGGCCACAGAATAAGCTTCTCCTGCTATGAATGCATTACCCGCCATGAGAATCCAGACTACAGTTAAGTCAAAATGTCAGATTAGGAATAGGACACAATCGCTAAATTTACAAATTAGAAGACCATTGTCGAATATTAAGATGGTGAAAGTACAATCAAAACATATCTCTCTTGAGTCTAAACACATACAGAGTCCTTTGACTTATATATAAAACTGTGATAAAACCGATTTCGATAACATTGTCAACGACTAAGCTATTTAATGAGACAATGAAAGCCGTTGAAATGGTAATGTGCTTCCATAAATTAATTCTAAATTTTTTTCAACTTTTCAGAATTTATCACATTTATGGCGATAATTTCGATAAGCAATGTGATTCAAATTTTTGTGCCTAAAGTTTTTTTAAAGGAAGTTTAAAATAATACTTGATCATTTTTTATAGGAGAAAGGAGAATAGTAAATAGCATTTTTAAAGGGGCATAAGCTGTCAAATTCATGGTCACCGATTTGAATCAATTTATCATATTTGATTTGTAATATACTAAAACGTATATCCAAATTATAAAAAGGCTAAAATAAACAATTTACAATGCATGGGGTCGATAATATGTATCAGCATTTCGTGTGTATTTTAGTCTAGACGCCATCTAATTAACTATTGAGGTGATCTCCGAAGACTGCCGACGGTCATATAACCCGATATAAACATAAATATCGAGATAAATATAGATATCAATAGAAAGAAAAGATCGTGCAATTAGATTTTTCTAGGTCTGTTTGATTTCATATGATAGGTTTAAAAAATGTATGTTAATCATCGTTTTTACCTGTACAAGAATGAGTTTTTTGTGGATCGAATCAGTCAATCAAATGGTTTCACTTTCAATATTTACATTATTTTCCTTTTAATAACTGAACACGCCTAATTCATGCGTAATCCATCTCTAGCTAAGGGGTTAAATTGAAGGTCACATGCATACGAATTGAATGATGTCGAACTATTCACTTGCAAGTGAATAATTTATCATCGATGTTTCTTAGCTTATTTTGACAAAATTGAACTAAGTGGCTGCTAAAAGCGAATTATCATTTCACTCTTTCACTGTCATTAATGAATTGATAAAAAAATCATATTTTAATTTTTTTTATATCTCGTAGCTAATGTCCCTTTAAACACGAGGTTAAAATTCAAAAAAACAAACATATAGTTCGTTTATTCATATATCTGTCTCCGTTGTTCTTATGCTAACATTCCCCGGCGCAGAGATCCTAACCGTTCCGTTCTATACTACATAACACATCACTCAACGGATATGAACTCTGCGCCGGAGATTGTTATGCTAACACAAAACAAAACAATTGTATGATAACGGCAAAGGTGTCCTGTGTACAGTATGTTAAGTGAGTGATTTTCTATTGCATATTATATAAGTATTTCTCTTTTGAAGAATTAAAAGCGATATGGCCGAGGCAGAAGAAAACAAAGAAGAGTTTTACCTAAGGCTTTTAACCTTTGTCATTGGACCAGCTACAGAAGTTCTCCAACTCTACTTCGAGATCAAAGTTTTAAACTCGTTGGATTTTTTTATGTTCTTAGAAAATCATAAGCATGTCTTGTTTCATGAACTATATCCATCTATTTCATGTTGTGAATGTAATAAAATTTCATTAGCAGCTCTACAGAAAAAATGTCGTCTTAATGATTCTCAGTTTAACACATTGTTTGAAACAGACGAAGGACTAGAAGTTCAAGATCATAAAAGAAAGCACGGACAAACGATAAAACAATTATGTCTTTGCAGTGTTTCAGCAAAACGAACGACTTCTGTGGACTTAATGGATATCACACTTTTGTCTTCTGTAATTAAATCGTGTTGTCAACCTGGGTCAATTTCTGGAAACCCAAAGTGGATAAAGGATATAAAAAAGACGAGGAATTTCATTGCTCATTCTCCAAGAAATAAAATTACTAAGTCCGAATTCGATCAAAAATTTGCATTAGTCGAACAATCAGTGTTGAATATAGCAAGTGTAGTTGGACCTGTATTTCTAAAAATGATCAAAGATCAAATTTCTATTTTCAAAAATAGTGATTTGTCGGCAATTATCGATAAAGATCTAAAAAAGAACAACAACGACAGTATCCATATGGTAAGTCAATAAAAGATACTCCTTTACATCACATATCTTATTATTCATAATGCTTGGAGGTTTCCAACCATTCAAAATATATAAAAGCGAACACGAGACCGGCGTTATACCTCTCACATGAAAATTAGATCAAAACTACAGCTGACGAACAGAACATTGTACGAGTTAACTATTCACCTTCATTAATAGACTACAGTATGACACCACAATACAAGAACAACATGAGGTATGATAAGAGCTATGATTTGGCCCTTAGAATATCAAAAAAAGTAAATTTATTCAGGTCTTTCATAATAAAGTTAATCTAATTAATAGATCAACCACTTGCTTTAATCTGGAAACTTACGTCCAAAAATGATGTCATAAACATGTAAATATACGTATTTGATCTTCAAAAGAAAGATATCTTACACACACTCACATCTTTGTGTAATACATTTTGTAGAAAAATAACTTTTTCTGTAAAGTTCTTGTTCAAATTTAGATATTAATCACAGAAAATAAGGATATTTCGATACGACTATAATTTATAAAAAAACATTTCTAATATTACCTGTTGATAATTTTTTGGTTCAGCTCTCTAAAACAAATTTGACCTTAAAAAGAATTAAATGCAACTTTTGGTCATATAAGTTCTAAAGTGGCTACATATGTAACATCTTTTGTTTTGAAATACTTAGGATTTAGCGTTCCTGGTCCGGTGAAATCCACAAAAAAAAGCTCCTAGGACGCATGAAAATTATAAAGTGTATTTTGACTGTTTATGCTGTCTGTGCACAAAATGTAATACATTTGAAGCTATCATGCCCATACGTAAGACAAAATAAAAAAAATATATATACTGATGTCTAAAGATAATCTAAAGGATGTTAACTGGTAGATTTATAAATATTTCTGATTTTCGAATTCAGGAGGCCAAACAGTGGCTTTATAATACTTTCTTCTTTTATCAAAACTTAATTTTCAGAATTTGTTTTCAAATATTTTACTTAATATTCCAAAACCAGAGAAGATATTTACGGATATTTCCATATCTTGATCTGTTAATGAGCTTTGTTTGTAGTTACTTTTGTACACAAATGCACGTGGGTGACTGGTAAAAAATAATAACATGTTGGCAGTCCTTATTGTTTATCAATGGAATAATTTGATGGCCTTATCACCATCGACCAGCTGTAACAAATATTTTATAAACAAAGATGTGAACGAAGTGGTTTAAGAAGAAAAAGAAGATAATGAATTCAACTTTGTATTTGATTCTGCTTTCCAATGTTTCCATTTGAGCTCATGAGTTTTGTGTAGACGAAACTCGAGACTTGGGTTACAAAATTAAAGCCTGGTATCCTTGGTGAATTTTAACAAAATGCACGGTTTTATCTACTGAATTGATATAAACCCAAATGCAAATTGTGTAATTAAGCGTCTAAGACTATTAATAATTGATGTTTATCCAGGTGGGTGGAGACTAGATCATATCAGTGGCACAAACCTTAGAGCAAGGTCAATTGTGGTGTAACTTCCTCTGTCCTACCTAGTTTTTGAAGCAGAAGGCGTTTGTGTTCTTAATATATTTACTAAGGCTGTGATAAAACAGTTTCTTACTGCTCAAAATATATTTAATTTATGGTTCATGACAAATTCTGAATTATTACCATGATACATGTGTGAATTATATTAAAGTAAATGAGGTTCAAATAGGACGATTATAATTTTCAGATTTCAGATTTCCAATTACTGTAAATTCAGAAATTAATGCGTTCATTTACTATCGCGATTTTTGAACATTGGACATAAATGCGAGATTAATTATTGCAGGAAAATCTGCATACGGATACATCCGTCAGATATCAAAATGCGAGTTCTTATTGAGATACTCACCCAGTTGCAGTATTGATAAAAAAAAACGCAAACATTTCTGAATTTACAGTATACCAATAGAACGAATGATCAAAATAATGATCTCTCATGAAATAAGGTTGAAAACTTAATTGAACATTTATGAGAGAATGAAATACAATAAGGACAATCTGAAACACAGTTTTTTAGGTCAAACTGTGTTGCGTAAGAAAGCCTGGTATATTTTGATAGACATCAAAGAATCTATTATTTTTCAAATTTGTAAATTACAATCTAACAACTAATTACATTATTATCAATTGTATTTTTAACTATATAATAATAAAATTATATATAACCATTTGAAGGATTGACCTTTCTTTTTTCTATTGATTCCTACATTATTAAATTTTAATGAATGAAAGTAATTATACGAGTTTAAAGTTGGCTGATTGAAGGCTAAACAATATGTGTATTGTGCTACCTTATAATAATACATGGCTTCTTTGACATGGTATTGTTATTATTTTATTGTTTTTGTGTTTTGTTGTCTGTTATAGAATAGGAGCAGATTATCTTAACTGTATTTGGCAAAACCCTACGAAATGTTGGGTCCTCAACGCACTTCAACTTCATACTTAATTTAGCCTTTTTTATTCGATTGGTGAGTTTTTTGTAGACGAAACGCGCGTTTGGCGTAAAATATTTTCATCCTGAAATCTACGATGAGTTATTTAGTTATTAAAGAGTAAAGTGATTTTTATCGTTATTCCTTTTTCGTCTTTTGTTTTACTGATAAAACATTTCAAGGTGTGGAGGTTTTATATCTTTAAACTATTTTTGATCAAGCCAAGCTAGGTGTATATGTGATCTCATCGGATTTAAAAAAATGAATACTAGTATATGCAACAGTTTCACTAAAGATGTTTAACTCTGATCAGCTTCTTTGTTAAAAGCAAAACCAATAGGGTAGATCTTTTCTGGGAAATGACTGTTTCTCATATTCGAATGTTTTTTTTTCTTTCAAGATATCAAATGATGCTATCTTACAACATCTAAGACAAGTGTAAAGACAAAATGAAACTACCGGCACCTGACGGACGCATCTGAAAAAATAATATTTGCTACGTTTTTTATTTAGTCTTTTATATTTTCAAGGACAAATAATATATCTTATACCAACTCCTCTCCATATTCCATTTCCTATTTCATGCGTGTGAGTGATGAGATCTTTTTTTTTCAAATTACATATGAAAAACTATTTTAGAATTACATGAAAGAATATGATTTTTTATAATCAAAGCTACTTTTATTTTTATTTATTTTTTTTTTTTTTATTAATTTTCAACAAAATTAATACTGTTAATAAAATGAGAATAAAACCATATATTTTAAGGGAAAACATGCACTTTCCTTCCCAAACTACCACCCAAACAAAAGATTATTAATAGTGGGATGACAAATCAAGAAAAAAGTGCTTATTTTATGACTTTAATCGATCAGCATTACTGCAGGCTAAAAATGATTTTTTTTGCAAAGCTATTACCTTAATCTTACTTTTTTGCCCGGTCGTAGCCATTTCCTTCGTTGCAGTTTATCATGGAATGGAAAAAAAAAGACATGTTGAGTTTTTCATTCAAAATGCTACTCGACAAACTATTTTACTTTTGATTTTTCTTATAGTTCTCAAACTCTTGATTTGGCATTTTCTAAATATATTAACTGCTAATTCATATTGTCAATCTATAATTTCTTTTATTCCGCCTTATTATTGTTCGTTTTCACTAAGTTTTAAAAATATGCACTCTTTCTTATTTTCACGGAGTGGTTACAAACTTTGTAAACTTACATTTCATCAATATCTTCCATTTTTTTTCGCGATAAAAAGTAATAAAACTTCATTTGGTAAAGCTATGATAACACCCTGGTTCAGTTTTTCTACTAGATCCACGTTTTCGATTTATTTTTAATATACATTATAATTCAGTGAATTTACGGATTTATTTCTGTTTCCGATACGAAGCAGATTTACATTTTATTGACAACTTGCTTCGGAAATGCATCATGCCATTGTTCGTATTTGTGTCAATCAAATATGTTAGTAATGATATTTTTGTATCACAGGTTTATTGAAAAAAAACTTATGAAAGTTTTTAACTGGTAAATTTTTGGCAAAAAGATATTTTATCGTGTTTTTCTTAAAATTAAAAATAGATTTTTTGAACAGTTAAGGTCAAATTGGAGCGGATAAGTGTTATTCCCAGAATATATCTTCGTATAGTTGTCCACCAATGCTAACATTTTCGCAAGCTAAATGAAGCCATGCTTCAAAAACTAGAAATCAATAATTATATATCCTAGTCTGTTCTGACCAGATCAATGCCACGCCTTTTGCTAGGACTGCTAGTATTTTCTGCAAACACAAATCGTAGAAACGCGACAAACATCTACGTTATACTGAAACTGACGATTGGCTCCAACAAATAATAGAATTATCTAAACGAAATTAAGAAACAAAATCACTCCTTTTGGACAAGAATTTAAAACCATGGCCCTAAACTTCAGGGCTTGCTCGGTTATTTTTTTGACATAGCAATCCGAAGAAAAAATGATTGAACGTTGAGTTAAATGTTTTACGAGAAGGCTTGTCATTGCCTGATTATTGACATCCTTGCAGATTTGCGTGTTTTCAAAAAATCTTTGTCGTGTTTTTTTCTTTTGGAAAAATACTGCTGGTTCCTACTTCATGAATGGAAAACAACCTACGCTTCAGCCAAACTGTAGCAAAGGTTGAAAAAAAACATTATGGAAAATCAATTGTTATACGGAATCAGAAATAATAGGGAGAATCAAATGCAGGGTTCAGTATCCCAATTTCGGAAGCCATTCGAGCTGCTAACCATTTATAATCTGAAAAAATACTGTCAGAAGTTAAGACACTAACTACTAATGAAGACCAAACATTACATGCAGCCGATTCAATAGTTCATAGTTAAATACAGTCCTTAGATATATAAAATGGAACTTACCCAACACCATCTGAAATATCTATGTCATATTCCATACAACACACTCCTTGCTTAATTAAGAAGTTTCTGTTGTGGATAGTTGATCTTAAAGCTTACAATGGGGAGGGTAATACTTCTGAATACACTCCACCATAACTTTTGCTGTCTTTCAGTAGATACTTCAAACGCTATCATAGGTTCCTTTAAGGTTAAACTTTGAACTAGAAAGATCTTTGACGTTTGATGATTCTAATACCATACTAACTATGTCATGCCTACCAATCGACAAGATAAAATAACTATATTGACCTTGTTTTCCTATGCATTACGGAGAAATTCAGTTTTTTAAGGAAAAACTAGGTACATCTGACATGTCTTTGATATGTATCCGACTTATTGCAAGACAAACTTAGACCCAGTCCCATTTTTACTGAAAACGCTGACAAAATTTTCCAAATTCGGACCACCTTTTACAAAAGGCTATCAGAATTCAAATTTGTGAATACATTTCTAGCTTATGCTCCGGTCATATACACCTAAACATACTGCTATAAAACAATGTTTGGGTATGTTTAGCAAATGCTGTATAAACGTTTGACCAGCAATTGTATGATGATGCCCAATAAGAAATATGGTCTATGGCAGACGTTTTATACTCCCACATCATAAGAATATGAGGTTGCCATGGGCCTTCATCTTTTTTATAACAAAAGTTGGTAAGCGACTTGCAACCGGAATATAAATAAACAGAAACAAAATTAACTTCGATTCTTTTTTAAGAAACCACGTAAAAATTTGAAATATATCTTTAAATGAACATGTAAAATATCAATTGAAATCCATTTCCTGTTTCGTCTTTGCCTTTTTCTTGTTGCCCTCCTTAATTTCATCAAAAAGGGGCATTTGGTGATTACAATTTTTTTTTTAATTGACTCAAAATTGACCTGCTATTACTTTACCTTTCGTTAAAGGAGTAATTCCTTGCCTATTTCACAATGCAGATACTATTTTACGACTTTTTATAACCCCTTGTGAAATTTGTTAACGCTTTATGAAAACCTCAACTACCGAACTTTGACCTAAAAATTTACAAATGTGCACTTTTTTTCGATTCTACGACCAGGCAAAATTTAAAGTTTGAACATTTCTCTAAACGAAAAACATAACTTAGCCTGCAGGTAGGGTTGATCGATTAGGGTTGAAAATTTTTTGGCTTGGTCACTCCACTATAAATGATGGCTAAGCATTGCCAAATATATCAAAACGTAGCCTTGGATCCTGGCTCACTATCCGACAGCGTGGACATGGTGTTACTTATTTTAACAGTCTATTATATTTTCCACATCAACGGATTAAATTATATCTAGAAATTAATGAATCTAAAAATAGATACTTCGTGGACATTCAAAAAGTACCATAGAGGCAATCGTGTGGTTTCTAAAATCACGCCAATTATAAAATCTGTAAGCAATTTGATATACTAAATACTCGACTCTTTCATTGCTTTCATGCTTTAGTGACATACCCAGGTACATTAATATGCTAGACATTGGTTGAGTTTGACATATATATTTATATAACCAACAAATTTTAAAAATGCCAGCTAAGTTGACGAACCCCACACAAACAGGAAATATAATAAAAGTGTTAAGATTTGCATATATAATGATAAAAGATAGAACTATGTTAACGATATGATATGATATGAAATCGTATTGAAAATTTTTCTTTTGACCAATTTACAGATTCTTGAAATGTTCGTAGAAGAGCAAAAAAGCACTCTTGCTTCATTTGCAAATCAAACAAGGAATTTGGTAGATAATACCAAAGAAATAAAAAACGAGGTATTAAGCCATCTTCAAGAACAAAAAGGTAATAATAAGGTGTTTTTTGAAAATGTAATTGATGAGACATTTATGACAACTCCTCCATCAAATACTTTTGAAATGATAAATGTATTACAGAATAATAATTATTGTGCGAAATATAAGTCTTCTATTCTGTCAACTTTTGCCTATTAAGAATTTGTATTATAGATAAATATGTATTAAGTATTGTAACACATCTGGTCAATGTGCTCTGTATAATCCACAAAAAATAATATTTTTACGATACTTCACTAATGTCGTTCTTCAAATGCCATAATCGTCAGTTATTTCCAGAAAAAAACTCGTTTTATTTCTATGGTGTCATTTCCATTAAATGCTAAGTTATACATTTATTATTTAAAAAATGTTGTGTACATATGATCCACAATGTAAAAAGCTCTTGTTTTAGTTTTTTCAAAAGACCACAAACATTCTATTAATCTTATATTGATCCACCTTCTTGAAATGAACAGTTTGCAAAATAGAAATACCGAAAGCACAAATCACCAAAACAATTTTTAAAATGGCACATTGCGAAAACAACATACGAGTTGGAAGATAGAAAGTCGTTATATCTATACAAAACGTTACCAAGAAAGAAAGAAACATCAAAATAAGAAAGACAGTACAACTGACCACAAAGCTCCATCTCCACCGAACAAAAAAATGTAAATATATAAAAATATAAAGAAACAAAGACAAACAACCATGTACAACGTATTCCTTCTAATCGTTAGTTTCTCATAATTTCTTATAAATAAAAAAAGGGGGGAAATATCAAAGGGAGAATCAAAATTACTAAGTGGACAAGATCATCGAAATCATTGCAATAAAAAAAACAAAAGACGACGAAATGACAAACAACACTCATACAAAACACTACATTTAAACTTAAGATTAAGCAACACGAACCCAACCAAAAATAGAATAGAATAATAATTAATAGAATAAGGAAACTAAAGAGGAATAAGGATAAATTTATGATAATTATCCCTGTCGTACACATGAAGCTTATATCGTGTTTACTCATTATGTAAGTAGTAAATACCTCATGTATATAAGTTTATTTTTGTTTTGGGGTCCTGTACAAGCCGATCTATATTGATAAACATTAACTTATCTTTTTCAAAGATCTCACTATTGGCATACGCAATATTGTATTTGAGGTTAAAACATTGTGGAAAGATGAACTGTCTAAAGCAAGAGATCCCAACAAAAAAGGACTTTCGCATGGTATGTTCTTTGTGTTTAAATTTAACTATTTGATATGAAAACTTTGTATGTTTTCAGTTATGATGTTAATATACGTATGTAGCATCTTCCTCGTATATAACGTATGAAACACACATTTTCAAGCAAACCAAAAAGACCTAAAAGGACAGATGTGTTTCTTTAACTTTATTGTATTCCGTTGACAAATGAGAGGGAACAAAATACGTCACATAAAGTAAGTTCAATGTGCTGGTTTGGATTATTATATTGGTTGAACGTTGATTAAATATATCCATGTTCAAATTCATGAAAGTTACCAGGCGAAACAGTTTTTAAAAAAAGTAAACAATCATTTGGAACTAAATTTGTGTTTCGAATTATCAGTTTGATGGATGTGTTCCTCAATGATTTAATCATTTTCTATTTTATATGGGCTGTGATTCTGTTTCAGATGATGACGTTTGCTATGTAGAATGGACACTGGCAACACCCGGTAACTGGGATGTAGATGAAATCAAGGAAACACTGGAAAATTTTTCATCTTTAATGGGAAAATATTTCCGTATTGTGTTTGTTTACAAGGGATCACTAGTAATTCAGACTACAACTGGGTTACGTTTCCTGCAAAGCGACGACGAATTTCTACTGGCTGTTAGATCATTTTTAAAAGATTTCATTGACATTTGTAATCTTGATACGGATACCAAAACCATTGTTCAAGTAAAAATTACGATATCCAAGGTGAAATTTGAATCAAGTAAGTAATGTATCATATCAGCTAACAACCCCTGCGATCGGATTCAAGAAATGCATCGTGCACACTGAATTTGATATGGAAGATTACTGAAATATGAAATACGTCAACAGTGTTGTACCGATTGATATAGCGAGAAATTATTCCCATTTAAGATTCCCAAATAACATTAACACTACTATTTTTACTGCCATAGATGTGCATTTCGACAATCAATGACTCTTCAGTGATGCTCGAAGCCAGCAAATCAAGAATCAAGGAGCTAATTCAAACTTGAAAGATTGGTAAAACCAGGAAGAACCAAAAGCATAGCTAAACCTGGATAAAAAATCAGAGCTATGCTTGAGGGAGATACATTTCTTTATTTATAATAATTTCCAAAATGTATTACAGCAAATTTCACAATACTGTGGATTCATTTATTTTCGTGGGTACCAATTTTTGTGGATTGAGGCAACCTTGAATTTTAGTGGATATTTGGTTTCGTAGTTATGTCAAAGTCTGCATACAAACCAATATCAAATTTGTAATTCGTTGAACATTTAAGTTCGTGGTTTACCTGTACCGACGACATCCACGAAAATTGGTATCCCACGAATGATAATGAATCCACAATAAAGCGATAACCGAATGTCATGCCTGTATGAAAGTATTAGCTACTGGGATTGTGATATCATCCCTCGGGGACTACAGTTCACCTGCAGAGGTATCGACCCAGTACACGTGGTAGTCATAACATTAACAGTACCAATTTTACTACACCAGATGGGTCAAGAGAGTGATTTATTTTAGGTAGACGGCAATGGAAGCCTTCTATTTAATTCCCCTGTCCGTATGGTATGATGACTATTTTCGAAACTGAGATATTTTCACATATGTTGTTATGTTGTTAAAATTTTTAGGGGGAACTAGGTGAGATTTACTTTCCCGTAGTTTTCTATACCCCGAAATGCCTTTTACGATCGGCCTTCCCCAGGTACACAAATCCCTATATTCACAAAACAAATAATCTAGAAATACTGTTCTTTGTATCATTTAATAGCCGTGTAGTTTTTGCACCTTTATTCCTTGGTCCTCTGCTCTTCCAATCAGCAAAAATTGTTTAGCTCAATCACTTATCTAAAATTGCAACATGTCCAATATAATTGGACCAATTTAAGGCGCATTAGGAATATTGACCCAAACGAGCATTTCCACAATTTATATCTCTTAAGTAATGTTCGAAACCTAAATATTCAAAACATGATGCAATGGCTGAAAGTCTGATCAACCCAAAAAGAAGCAACAAGTAAAGCCAACCCTGGATAAATATTCATGTGAGAGATACTTACATTCCTTAATGTTCAATTAAGCAATATCCGTATGTCATACGTGCTCATGACTAGGAGATTATAAGTCGTAAAGACATAGTGTATCACCACAGTATCACCATTAGCGTTAATATCATTAAACATCTAAAAAGACCAAAGGTAAAAATCAGATGTCAATTCCTCTTCAAAGAAGTATCTGTTTTGCATATACTTTGGGATTTTAGACGACAAAGGAATAAATTGATATACTTTTCAGATAAATAAATTTAGTTCAGAACATTATTTTTTTTTAAAGGTTTGAAGAAATTTTTAGAAATCCAATATTTGCGTGTACTCCACAAGGTGTTCACGTCTATTATATTTGCGAGTCTATACTTTCAAAAATTGGGAAATTACCGAGGAATTATGATATTTGGAATGTCATATTTTCTAACTCGTTTTCTTAGAATGTGTATTAGCTTAGGCAAAACCTTTTTTTGTTTGTTTCATTCTCTATTTTAAATTTATTGAAATACTAAGGATTTTATACCCAAGGAATAGATTACAATAGCTGTATTTGGCCAAACCTTTCGGAAAATGGGGTTCTAAATGCTCTTTAACTTCGTACGTTATTTGGCTTTTTTTTTTTTTATTCAAGCGTCACTGATGAGTCTTTTGTAAACGAAACGCATGTCTGGCATATCCAATATTAATCCTAGATTCTATGATGAGTTTATTTAAGTTGCTAACGAATTTAGATTATCTAATGCCATTGTTAGGAAAGAAAATAGATAATTAAAAATAAAGTATAATTTGCGCTCAATTGTTGCAAATGTTGTCTTTCTACCTTTAAAGTAAATAAGGAATGGACCTAACGTAATGGTACCCAAATACAGCTATTTTAACAGTTTGTTCACATTAATTATCTAAGAACAGACACAAATTTCCGTTCTATATTTATTTTGTAGATGTATCCTTATTTACTAAATAGTCCCTCAAATTTAATTTGGAACCCATACTGAATCATAGAACAAGGGGTTTAAACTGACCTCTAAACGATCCAAGATTTTCCAAGATGGAGTACCTTAATTACACCCACGCTTAAGGATTTTGTCCCCTTTTGTTGTGTCAATGCAAAACATATGGAAATTTCATAGAAAATCTACAGCCTTCCCTGTGTACTCTTATATTTCACAATCTTGTACTTAATAGATAAGGGATCTCTTCATGCATAGCTAGCAATGATTCCACAAAATAAGTTTTTAAATGGAGATATTTGTTTAAACAAGTACAAATATGGACTAATTCAAGTACACCTTCTATGGTGTGCTTGTCTTTCGTGACTCAGCACAAGGTTTTTGTGATTGTAAAGGTTGCTGAGAACTTTTTGTTAACAACACATGCTTGCACAACATGGACAGACAAGTGAGTGATCAATGTTTGAAATGTTATACCGAAAATCTCTGTAATAAAGTCTGTGGATTTTCTGTAAAAAAAACTACGATTTAGTTGCCACAAAATCCAAATTTCCTTAAAATGCAGAGAAACATTTAATATAATTGATATGAACGACGGATCGCTTTGATGTGGTACAAACTGACTCTTTTGTTCAGTATTTTTGTTTCATATTGTCGCATTGTGAAATTTTCAGAATACACAGGACTACAGAAGGGATCAGAAACATTAACTTCACATCAGTACAAATCGAAAGTTTTGTATTGTAATTCTCCACATTCTTTTAATAATTTTACAGCAGTCCATGCTTGTTAGGCATTTTGTATGATATTGACGTCATTGACATATAATTTTGATTTCTCATTTTTAAAAGGCGACTTTTTGTTGACATCGCTAACTACATTTCCGTTATTTTGTTTTTAACTACAGACTTTAATATTCATGTATAATGTGACCGTTTTGTGTATGTTAGAGATCTTTTGCTAAGTTAATAGAAGAGCCTAGTATACGAATTTTTTAGTCTCTAAGAAAACGTATAAGATATCCGTCATTATAGTCATTATTGAACTTATTTATGCAAAATGAGTGCATTTGGGTACTGAGTGCAATTCGGGTACTATTAAAGCGTATCGACAGCAGATAGTAGGTATTCCTATGGGCACTAATTGCGCCCATTTAATAGCAGATTTATTCCTGTATTGCTATGAATCACAGTTTATGACCAAACTCAGTAAAGACACTTCATTGTTACATTTGGCTGACACATTCAAAAATACCTACCGTTATCTTGATGATATTTTTTCGTTAAATAATCCAGAGTTCTCTAAATATACTCAAAGGAACTTACTCTAAATAAATCTAACATAAACAGCAGTAGTTGTCCTTTTCTAGATTCAGACGTTTCAATTTCTAAAGGGAAACTCCATACTAAAATTTACAACAAAAGAGACGGTTTTTATATGTATTTATATATCCCAACTCGTTTGTTATGCCCGTGTGTGTAGTGATGTCATAGATTTTAACGAACGTAATTAATGCATCACTGGTAAATTATAAAGGCAGGGATTACGTTACTATAAATCACTTAAAACATTTACTAAATTCTTTCAAAGATACAAAGATTTGATTAGTAAATTTGGCTGTACATGTAGAAAACTGATCAAAAACGGTATTTCCCATCCTAAATTTTACGGTAATATTGTACTAAAAGCGCCGAAATCTATATGTGATCCGTGTTAACTCACCGAACCTTTAAGCAAACTTATTAGTAAAGGTGATCTCATTAATGTTGTAATAAGATCTTTGAATATTGTTTACATTGGCACTAACATCGATTTTGTCACCAACAAATTAAAACATAACTAAATTTGTATTATTTTCGAATGGTTTTTGTGATGTACATGTATAAATACAAATCCACGTTAATTTTCAATTTAGAGATTGCTTTATCTATATATATATCATGATACATATTTATCATAAGCTTAAATCCTAACGATCCTACCGCCTGTCGATACTTTTATTTTGGCATGGCACTAGTCATGTCTTATTTGACTGTCCATGGCGTTAAAACACTGAATCCCTGGGATAGGTTTTAATTGATTTTAGTCTCTGATGCATGATTTTTTATTATTAATTGTTTTTGGCTTTTAACTAGCTTGCAGTAATTACGAGCACTCTCAAATCTTACTTTAGTGTTAATTTGACCTATTGACTCAACTTGTAATGCATTTCTGTAATTCAATGTTTTCTTATTTTGTGTTTTATCTCGTCTCACTATTTTTAATATGTACCATCTTTGATAAGTATTAAGTATGACGATAAATTTTCACTTCTGTACTCGTACTCTGAACTACAAATTTATTAGTTTTGTAAAAAATGCGTACTTTCGTAATCCTAACAACAAAATTGTTATATTTAAATTTACCTGTGTACGTGGTTTTATTTAACGCTATTTAATATTGTGTCATAGATCAAACTTATTCGTTTAGTGTATGTTTACTTGTTTTTTTTTTAATTTCTTTTTGATCGAGCTAAGCCATTTCAATGATATTTTATAGTGCATCTTTTTATGTTGTAATGTTACACTACAGTTTAGGGTGAAGGTTGGCGCCTGTTAAAACGTTTTTATGCACCTGTCCTAAGTCAGGAGCCTGTTGTTCAATGGTTGTCGTTTATTTGTGTTTTTCATAGGTCTTTCTTGTTTCTTGTTTTTTATATAGATTAGACCGTTGGTTTTCCTGTTTGAATTGTTTTACACTTGTCATGTTGTGGCCCTGTATAGCTTGCTGTTCGGTGTGAGCCAAGGCTCCGTGTTGAAGGCCGTTTTTTACCTATAATTGTTAACCTTTTATACATTGTGACTTGGATGGAGAGTTTTCTCATTGGCACTCATATCACATCTTCTTATTTATACTATTATTTTATAGATAGAACCTTATCGTAGTCAGACTGCTCTTTCCATATATTATACAGTATATTGTCTTGATATTCAAAGTAACTGAAAATTGACATAATTTAAAACTCTCAGCGTGAAAGCCATTGGAGTCAATGTCATAAAGACTAGTTCTGCCAATAAATAACTTTGTTGTGTTATTCATGTTTGTTCAGCCTACAAGAGCATGAAATTCCTACCCTTCTAATTGCATCAGGTGTAGACAAAAGTGTAACAGTTGGAAATTAATTAGAATCCGAAATTTGGGAGATTGAATGAGGGGTGTGATGTTATTTTAGGAAGAGGATTATTCACTCAAACGAATTCGTATTACAAGAGATACCTTGAAACTTGAACTAAACTAACTGGTCTTTTAGCTTACAAAATGTGTTACTTTTAGGAACTATTATAAAGGATGCTGAAAGTACGAAAGCCATTTCATACACTTTTTAGAGCAGATACTTTCTAAATCTTTCAAATAACAGGGATTGTTCTCGATTTGAATTTCTTAACAGCAAAGATATAAAAAAGTATCTTCCTTCTCGTAGAAAATGTTACTAAAAAATTATACGTCAAATGAAACAGCAACCAAACGCCAAAAATACTGAAAATATAAAAATAAAAAGATGTGGTATGATTGCTAATGGGACAACTCTCCACCAGAGACTTAAGGACATAGAGGTTAACAGCTATAGGTCACCCTACAGTCTTCAACAATGAGCAAACACTTACCTTTTAATTATAACGTTATTGTGTATCAATTTATAATATCTAAATATCACATTAAATGAGATGATATTTTGCATTTTTATCTTAATCGCAAAAGTCATTCCAATATAACTTTACCTAAAAACTAGATTCGTGACTTGAGAGCAGACATATGAACATGTGATAGATTAAGGTATATTTTGTGACCCTCATTCCCCCTTTTAATATCTAATAATGATATAACAACCATAAAAGAACGTACAAGAAAAATAGACTCAGAAAAAGGTCATCATTTTTTTACGGTCATATCTGACTATAATTGACTGAACAGCCAACCACTATTTGTTCTGATCATGTAAAATATCTTTTCATCAAGTTATCATTCAAATCAAATTAGCAAGACTAGGTTATGATAATGGTGGTATTTACTAGTCAATAAACTAACAAACTAGTATTGCTCAATTTCGACATACTAGTATTCTGCCTGTGACAACTTCTAACGTAATCGACATTGAAACAACAAACCTGAAAAAGCTTAAACTTAGACGGCACATTAAGAAAAGCGATTTCTTGTAAGTGTATACGTTGTATTGTAAGCTAAACATACACTTGAACGTTCATACAAGAACGTAATAACTGCATTGTTCTTGTCGGTCCATTCACTTTTGAAACGAGTATTTCTGTCACAAGTCTCAAGTACTACTGGACAGATTACTTAATATTTGGTCAGCAGCTAAGCAGGCAATATTTGTAGGGTACTAATAGTTTTCGGATTCGTCAGACAACTTCTTTCTGTTTTATTTTACTTTGAATTAAGATTACAAATTGACGATATAAGAGGTTGTGTTAACATTAAAGCTTCTAATATTTAATTTTATTGTCATAGTTCATAAAACCGAACTTAATCATGTAAGTTTAAATCAATTTACTACAATATACAGTTTCAGAATACTTAGTCTCAAAGAAAATGGACACCTCATGGTCAACATGCGAACTATGTTCTGGTAAAAATGTTATATTGGAGGCAATTCAGTTTTGCTCTGAATGTCAATGTAAGCTTTGTCGGCAATGTTTATCAAACCACAACTTGAATGCAGCATTCCTCGAGCACCATTTGACTGATATTGGGACATTATCTCTAGAGAACTTTTGTACTAACCACGAGGGCAGCATTCTCGACTTCTTCTGTGTTGTACATGATTGTTTATGTTGTCTATCTTGTAAGACCGAAGAACATAATTCGTGTCAAAATGTGCTTCCTTTAGAAGATGCAGCAAAAGATGTAAAACATTCAGTTATGTTTCAAGACGTATATAATGCTGCATCTAACATTAGAACGACATTGAATAGAGCAATCACAAGTCAAAATGTTAATATAGACAATCTTAATGCTGATGAAGCTACGATTTTAAGTCAGCTTGCGAGTAACAAAGCTAAAATAATTAAACGATTAGACGACCTTGAAGGAATAAGTATACTCGAAACTAATTCGCTAAAGAATGAGCAAAGAGCTAGAACTGAATCACATAAAAACAGTTTATTGCAAATTAAAAGACCAATGAAAAAAATATCAAGGAAATTAGATCAAGTATCCAAGTATGGTTCACAAAAACAACTGTTTGTTTTGATTAATAAGTATAAACTAGAAATCATTGACTTGGAGATCAAACTTCAGAAGATCTTACCAACTCTTATGACAAGGAGAATGATATTCAAACCGCGGGAGGGTATTCAAAATACAATAACATTTTTAGGACCAACAAGAGTTAAAACATTGCCATACAAAGCAGCTTATAAGCCCCCAAAAATTCACCAAGTTCAGGTTCCATCATTAATTCCTCAAATGCCATCGAAATTTAGATTTGAACGTAAAATAAAAATCAACCGATCTGATGATATATTGATTACTAAAATGGGTATTACAGATGATAACCGTCTACTACTTTGTAATAACTCTGAAACCCACCTACTAGTATACAGTGTCAGTGGAGATTACTTACAGGATTGTGAGTTGTCAGGTAGATCTCGGGATATAGCTGTTATACCTGGTACAGAAAAAGCTGTCGTTACTTTACCTTTTGATCTTTCTATACAATATGTCGACATTAAAACAATGAAAGCTGGTTCTCTGTTTTCCGTACCTTTTGGTTGCCGTGGTGTCGCTATTGTAAATGATAGGATTTGTGTTGGTGGATATAGTGAGCGTGGAAATATACGCATACTTGAAATGAATGGGAAACGTATAACCAAAATGAAGATACCGAAAGCTGGTTATATAACAAATCTACATCCAGGTCCTGATGAAAGTCTTTACTATACTGATACAGAGTATAACGCTGTATGTAATATCAGCTTGGAAGGAATACAACGATTTAGATATACTTCAGCAGATCTCAAAGGACCAAATGCAGTTACTACCGATAAAAAAGGTAATTTGTACGTGGCGTGTGAAGGTTCAAATCATATACAGCGAATTACACCAAACGGAGAATTCATTGATATCATCCTGGACACAGAAAATGATATATGCAGTCCTACTGAAATTATTTTTAGTAATGATTATGGAAAGCTATTTGTATTGAATCACGTCAAAAATACCACATATGTCCTCGTTTTCTCATGTTCATAAGGAAGATAATATTACGAAGACAAAAGATATTCCGTATATGATATGTATTAAGAAAATTCCAAAAAAATTATTTTACAACTTTCTTGCTTGATATAATGTTTTATCCTTACGATACAAGTTCCAAATAGAAGTCATGCAAACAATCAGTAAATAATGCAATACACGTTCTGGAATAACCGCCAATGCAAACATTTGGAGGGAAAAAACACATAAATTCTTAGACACAACATGCTAAATTAGACAGGTCGTCATAAAAGTACGTCAAATTCATCTAAGATTGGTCATTCGAGTGAGATTAACGGGCCTAGTTTTATTTACTTTTAATCGTTTTTAGTTTTTTGAACTGTCAATCATATGTAATGACAAATGTAAGAATTACGCCAAAGTGGACAAAATCAACAAATACTTTTAGTCACCACTTCGGTGTTATCATGTATATCTATTATATAGTCATTTTAATAAATTTACTGTTTGCAAAAGTATGAATTATTCTAAATACTAAGGATTTTCTCAATGGTCTTCAACTTTGTACTTGTTTTGGCTTTCGAACATTTTTGATCTGAGCGTCACTGGTTAGTCTTGTGTGGACGAAACGCGCGTCTTGCGTATTAAATTTTAAACCTGATACCTTTTGTTAGCTATTATTCGTATGTTTCTCTGTCCTATATGTTCTCCCATTTATTTGTATTGTAGTCCTGTCATGTAATGTTGTCATTTTAATGTTATATTTAACATTGCCATAAAAGCGGGAGGTTTGGCTAACCACAAAACCAGGTTCAACCCACTATGTTTTTCTTAAAAATGTCCTGTACCAAGTCAGGAAAATGGCAATTGTTATCGTATAGTTTGTTTCTGTGTGTGTTGCATTGTCGTTTGTTGTTTGTTCACTTCAGTGTTCTGTTGTTTCTTTGTCCAAATGTACTATATTGTATTGTTTATTTGCGTCATTCTCTGTCCGTAATGTTGTACTGTATTCATGTCATGTAATGGTGTCATTTTAGTGTTATATTTAACATTGCCATAAAAGTGCGAGGTTTGGCTAGCCACAAAATCAGGTTCAACCCACCATTTTTTTCTTAAAATGTCCTGTACCAAGTCAGGGAAATGGCCATTGTTATATTATAGTTCGTTTCTGTGTGTGTTTCATTTTAATGTATACTACTGTTGCCTTTATTTACTTAATACAGGTTGGCGGTTAACACTTTAGAATTCCGTTTTAATCGTTTGGTATCCTATATTTGATGCTCTTTTCGCACACTAGAATTACCATTACATGCACGGATGGATGGATAGCTGTTTAACGTACAGTGGCAAATTAAATGCATATTGAGGACAAGGACAAATTATTTAGATATGAATTTGAACCCTGCTTTGTAGCTATATAGACCTACACGCTGATTTGGATTTCAAACGTGCCACTATAAACATCATTCTACAGAGAAACATTATTCTGATTTCAAACAGGCCAGTCTTTGTTCTTCGGTCTGATAAATCAAGCCTGTTTCAACAGATTTTTGTGGTTTGTTCTTATGTTGTGCTGTTCCACCACTAACTCAGATCAAGAATCGGAGATTGGCGCACGCAAACATGTTTAATGTATACAATTAACTCCGTCTCCTGTTTGTGCAGTCAGAAGTTTAATTCAGTGATTGTCATTTTTTTACTTTTATGTCATAATTTTTTTTTTTTCATTTATTGTTTTGTACATAAGCAGGTCGTTTGTTTTCTCGTTTGAACTGGTTTTCATTTGCCATTTCGGGGCCTTTGCTATGCGGTATGGGTTTTGTCCAATTTGGAAGACCACATCTTCATCGTTTTATTTAGTTGTTAACCGTTACGTAATTTGGTCACTGGGGAAAAATCGCTCATTGACAATCATTCTACAATTTCTTAACTTTATATTATCTGTTAGAGGCGTTGCAACTCTTGATTTAGTAATATGGGAGCATGGTTCAAATTTGATCACTACACGTTTAATAGAATCATTATTACAAAATGCATTATATGTATGCGAAATAAGTCAGATACTTAAATTATGTATACATTATAAGGTCGCCTGTGTGTTGTCGTAAAAAAAAAAAGGGACGAAAGATACAAGAGGGACAGTCAAACTTATAGATCGAAAACAAACTGACAACGCCATGGCCAAAAATAAAAAGACAAACAGACAAATAATAGTACAGATGACACAACATAGAAAACTAAAGACTAAGGAACACGAACCCCACCAAAAACTGGAGGTGATCTCAGGTGCTCTGGAAGGGTAAGCAGATCCTGCTTCACATGTGGCACCCGTCGTATTGCTTATGTTATTACAAATCCGGTAAATAGTCTAATTCGGTAAGTCACATTCGTGAAAAAGGAATCCAATAGGTTTTCAACAAACATATCAAATTATTCATAGTTAACATCCGAAGCGCTTTTCGAAATGTTCCTTCATCAGTAATGCTCAAAGCCAAGTATTTGAAACTAAAGGATGTATAAGAACAGTGGAAGAGCTATGTGACAAAATAATAGCAAAATCATTCTAAGGTCATTATTGCCTGACGGAGTTGAAACCTTAACTACTTTTAAAGTTATAAACGGACAATTTTAGAAAATTCTGTTATAAATTATGACAGTAACGAAGTATTGATTACTGAGCTGATGATACCCTCGACGACCGATAGTCAACGAGCAGTAGTATCGACCCAATACCGTAGAAGTGGTGTTTGAAATCTTCAGGATAATCTTTCTTACGTATATTAATGACTCATAAGGCAAAATTTACTTTTCTAAAGTGTTGTTTCGATATATGAGTGTTTGCAGTGATGTGTCAGACTTTAAAGCAACGTAATATTTTCATTTTTACGGCAGATATATGATTATCATAAATTGGTGATAACTTGTATAAAATTTTATCACAAATATTGGGATTTGTTCTGGAAGGAAAGTAACATCTTCAGAAATTCTTAAAAGTTGTATTTCATACACAGCTGTTCAATTTAATATTAATTCTTTCGGACTGGCTAAATTGACTTATCGATTATGATAATAATTATATTGCTGTTTTTCAGTTATTGGCGTTGCGCTTGGTTTTGAGGATTAATATTTAGAAAGAAGAATACAAATTAATTTTTATAAAGTATCTCTTTTATTTCTGTCTGCTTTGAAATTTTGTACATATCTTTTGGTAATGCACAATATCAAATCTACCTGTATTATTGTTTGAAATCGTCTCATTGGCTTACTACAGTCACTGGTAAAAATGTGTAGTGCTTAAAGATTTCTAATCAGCATGCTAAGTTCTTTGAACTTGCTTTCGGAAACTGCAAGCATTCCGTTGTGCGGTATTGTTCATTGATGTTTTGCGTTCACTGTACATGTGGTCTTGTTGTCTTTTTTTATCTATATTTATGATTTCAGATCAAAATGTTTGATTGTATACATCACGTCCATGTCATTTACGAGTTGTACAAGCCAGACAAAGAAAATTCAATGTTTGAAACCTAATATCAATTATGGTTATATAAACCCACTTCGAAGGCTTCATCATTTCTCGCACGTCTAATAATGAATTTTATAGCATAATCATTTTCATATTTGAAAATTTCACCGGGGCCTAAAAATATGAAACTAAACTCCTAATTGTGTATTGCTACCTCAAACAATATCCGTATGTTGACCAGTGTATTCACCAATAGATGTATTGTTAATTAACTTTATTAAAGTTAAAAACCAAAGGTAAATAAATATTCACTGCCAAAATGGATGTAGATTTTCTTTATCTTGAATATACTTTGGGAATCTGAAGGACATATGCTATCAATTGGCATACTTTTTATTTTAACACATTTTTAATTCAGAAAATTAATTTTTGAAAGAAGGTCTGAGGACATTTTTAGAATTCCAATGTTTGTATGAACACCATAAACTGTTCCCGGCCTTTACATTCTCGAGTTAAAATTTTTACCTATAGGCCACAAAACACTAAATCATGCTATTCAAAATGGCTTGATTTTTAAACCTTTTTACTATGAAGTGCTAATTATATCTTTAAAAGGGTCCATGTACCCAAAGACTGTATACCACGTGATTGTAAAGACACAATAAAATATATTATTGTCGTGAAATGTGTATTAGCTCTGTAAATACATGTTTTTGTTGAATACTCTATTTTCAGTTGCTAACTAATTAAAATCATTTAATGACATTGTTAAGTGAAAAAAGGTAGATAATTAGAAATAAATTGTAATTTGCGCTCTGCAGCGGTTGCAAAAAATGTTGTCCTTTTACGATTTCAAGTAAATAAGGAAAAGCACCTGTTCACAGAACTTTATGATAGTCGAAGCTTCATGAAACCAATCAAACTGATATTGTTCTTCCAATAACCAAAGTACATATATTATACCGTATATTAGTCTAGATATTCATAATTACTCAAAAATTAACATAATTATTAAATCTCAGCGTAAAATGCCATTGAGGTCAAGATCATAATGACTAGTACTGCTAATAAATTACTGTATACTTTGTTGTGCCTATCATTTTGGTCCAATTTTATAGAAACTTCAAACGTTGGGTGATAAACGCCAGATTCTTAAAGAAATCCGTTATTATAGGATGAGGGCTATACACCCAAACGGTTTCGTTTTACAACAGATACATTGAAACATGAACAAAGCTCTTTCTATTACTTAATCGTACAAGTTTTGTTTCTTTTAGGAACTATTTTACAGAGTACTGAAAGTACGAGAGCCATTTCACTTAATATTCTAGTGACAAAATTGAGAAAATAACAGGGACTCTTGAACTTGAATATTTTTATACCAATAATAATGAAAGTGTCTTTCCTCTCGTGAAACATTTTACTAAAAATATATTTATTTTTTATAGATCAAATTAGACAACACTTAAACTGTTAACGTGTTTATTTGCGCAGGAATTAAATTTCGTGATTTGTAAATGATTTCTAGGTAGAAATTTGTTGGTAATGTTCAACTTTTCGTTTTTATTGTCCCACATGTCCTTTGTACTTGTTATTGAACATTTAAATCTTGCACCCACCCACAGCAAACATGTTTAAGGACCCATATCAATCATGATAAATAACTATATCAGATGTAAATTTTTTAAACCTTGATTACATAATGAATAATTGACAAGAAATCAATATTTAACAACTTATGATAATTCGTTCTCCGTCGGAACGCTTTGCAGGGACATAGAAATATCGGACGTGAGTCCGTCCGTGCGTCTGTGGTTGCGTCCTTTCCGTATTTACCAATCAACCATTTTAAGGGATTAGTGTCCCTTAGAAATAAAAATTAAATTAAAGTTGCATTGTCATTGCTCTCAAGTTTACATTTCTTGTCAGATATTACTTCAATTTATATTAAAGATATATATGCTGATGTATTGAAAGAGCTTAAAAATCAGTGCCAAATAATATTCTTTGTTTAGACGTTTTGTTCCAGTGAAATGTAAATTTATTGGATATTCATTGTCACCACTCTCAAGCCTACATTTTATGTCAGATTTTTATGAAATATTTATTTCTAAGGTTTATATCTGCAACGTCTTGAAAGTTTTGTAAAGTCAGGACCGATTAATCATTTTTACAGGAATGATGTCTTTTTTAAATGT